ATCCTACTCGGTCCAAAGAAGACAGAAGTGATCCTACTCGGTCCAAAGAAGACAGAAGTGATCCTACTCGGTCCAAAGAAGACAGAAGTGATCCTACTCGGTCCAAAGAAGACAGAAGTGCTTTCATCTCATTCAAAGTACAGCAGCAAGGATCTTAACAAGAACCAAAAGGAGGGAGCACATAACTCTGGTGTTAAAATCACTGCACCGGCTTCTGTGGAGGACAGAATAAAGTTTAATATCCTTCTTCTGAACACACTTCCCTCACATTAGACTAAGTCTGGTGTGAGTGTGAACGGTTGGTGGTGGACAGTACAGTAGGTATAAAATATATATTACTTTAGAGTAAAAAAGAAGCAGGTATATAATCCTGTATATTATAGCTGTACAGTCACACATGTATACGTTAGCATGTTAGCTAGCAGCATGAGGCTCTGGGGCATTTCTCGACAGTAGTGTTTGTAGTGTTTGAAACGTGTGTAATTCCACATAAATAAGTTGGACGTTAAAAAAAGCCGTGATATGAACTTTTGAAAGTATTGTTTCTGTTTATAATTATAATGAGTGGTTTCCAGCCGTGTCCCTGAGGAGCTCTCTCTGGAGGTGCTCTCTCCTCCCAGTCGTTAGCACCTCTCTCATTACAGGTGATAATTGCAGATGCATTATGCTAACGATCACTGCCAACTGGAACGACCATCCGGGCGTTTGTGTTCCGCGTTAGAACCTAAATATTACTCCTTTGTTAATTTGGCAGAGACAGAAGACGCAAACAGCAGGTCAGTCTCTAAAAGGTTACGGTTTTATACTTCAAACTTTAAATTAGCTGATGGGAAACGTAAACGTGAAAAGTCTGACAGATTCTGACACCAATTTGTGGCTCTAAAAATAAAAGTTCTTTCGCATTTTCTTCCAGCAAAACAACTACAAACAGTCATTGGTCAGTCATTGGTCAGTCATTGGTCAGTCATTGGTCAGTCATTGGTCAGTCATTGGTCAGAGTGAGTGACACTAGGCCCCATTTCTCCCGACCCTTCGTGAGTAAGTAATATATTTATAGTAACAGCACTTTACAGTAGCAGTGGGCGTTAGTCTCTCCACACAGAGATACACCCATTTCCATAATGCTTATAGCTACTGTATTAATGATATCTGAAAAACATGTTAGGGGCCTCTAGGATTGGTGTCGTGGGCCGGATTGTGCCCTGGGACCGGAGCTTGACCCGTCTGTGCTAACCCAGTGTTAGCCTCAATGCTAGAGGTCGATCAGAGCTAACTGGAACAGAAGAAATGAGCCAAAATGTGGAGCCAAAAGTACGAATATTTAGTTTGTAGCAACGGCCGAGTTACAAAGCACCAGTCTGTTCTACACTGCCCTACCCCAGTCTGTTCTACACTGCCCTACCCCAGTCTGTTCTACACTGCCCTACCCCAGTCTGTTCTACACTGCCCTACCCCAGTCTGTTCTACACTGCCCTACCCCAGTCTGTTCTACACTGCCCTACCCCAGTCCGTTCTACACTGCCCTACCCCAGTCTGTTCTACACTTCCCTATCCCAGTCTGTTCTACACTGCCCTACCCCAGTCTGTTCTACACTGCCCTACCCAAGTCCGTTCTACACTGCCCTACCCCAGTCTGTTCTACACTGGCCTATCCCAGTCTGTCTGCTACACTGCCCTACCCCAGTCTGTTCTACACTGCCCTACCCCAGTCTGTTCTACACTGCCCTACCCCAGTCTGTTCTACACTGCCCTACCCCAGTCTGTTCTACACTGCCCTACCCCAGTCTGTTCTACACTGCCCTACCCCAGTCTGTTCTACACTGCCCTACCCCAGTCTGTTCTACACTGCCCTACCCCAGTCTGTTCTACACTGCCCTACCCCAGTCTATTCTACACTGCCCTACCCCAGTCTGTTCTACACTGCCCTACCCCAGTCTATTCTACACTGCCCTACCCCAGTCTGTTCTACACTGCCCTACCCCAGTCTGTTCTACACTGCCCTACCCCAGTCTATTCTACACTGCCCTACCCCAGTCTGTTCTACACTGCCCTACCCCAGTCTATTCTACACTGCCCTACCCCAGTCTGTTCTACACTGCCCTACCCCAGTCTGTTCTACACTGCCCTACCCCAGTCTGTTCTACACTGCCCTACCCCAGTCTATTCTACACTGCCCTACCCAAGTCTGTTCTACACTGCCCTACTCCAGTCTGTTCTACACTGCCCTACTCCAGTCTGTTCTACACTGCCCTACCCCAGTCTGTTCTACACTGCCCTACTCCAGTCTGTTCTACACTGCCCTACCCCAGTCTGTTCTACACTGCCCTACCCCAGTCTATTCTACACTGCCCTACCCAAGTCTGTTCTACACTGCCCTACCCAAGTCTGTTCTACACTGCCCTACTCCAGTCTGTTCTACACTGCCCTACTCCAGTCTGTTCTACACTGCCCTACCCCAGTCTGTTCTACACTGCCCTACCCAAGTCTGTTCTACACTGCCCTACCTCAGTCTATTCTACACTGCCCTACCCAAGTCTGTTCTACACTGCCCTACTCCAGTCTGTTCTACACTGCCCTACTCCAGTCTGTTCTACACTGCCCTACCCCAGTCTGTTCTACACTGCCCTACCCCAGTCTGTTCTACACTGCCCTACTCCAGTCTGTTCTACACTGCCCTACCCCAGTCTGTTCTACACTGCCCTACTCCAGTCTGTTCTACACTGCCCTACCCCAGTCTGTTCTACACTGCCCTACCCCAGTCTATTCTACACTGCCCTACCCCAGTCTGTTCTACACTGCCCTACCCCAGTCTGTTCTACACTGCCCTACCCCAGTCTGTTCTACACTGCCCTACCCCAGTCTATTCTACACTGCCCTACCCCAGTCTGTTCTACACTGCCCTACCCCAGTCTATTCTACACTGCCCTACCCCAGTCTGTTCTACACTGCCCTACCCCAGTCTATTCTACACTGCCCTACCCCAGTCTGTTCTATCCTGCCCTACCCCAGTCTATTCTACACTGCCCTACCCCAGTCTGTTCTCCACTGCCCTGCCCCAGTCTATTCTACACTGCCCTACCCCAGTCTGTTCTCCACTGCCCTACCCCAGTCTGTTCTACACTGCCCTACCCCAGTCTGTTCTACACTGCCCTACCCCAGTCTGTTCTACACTGCCCTACCCCAGTCTGTTCTACACTGCCCTACCCCAGTCTGTTCTACACTGCCCTACCCCAGTCTGTTCTACACTGCCCTACTCCAGTCTATTCTACACTGCCCTACCCCAGTCTGTTCTACACTGCCCTACCCCAGTCTGTTCTACACTGCCCTACCCCAGTCTGTTCTACACTGCCCTACCCCAGTCTGTTCTACACTGCCCTACCCCAGTCTGTTCTATACTGCCCTACCCCAGTCTGTTCTACACTGCCCTACCCCAGTCTGTTCTACACTGCCCTACCCCAGTCTGTTCTACACTGCCCTACCCCAGTCTGTTCTACACTGCCCTACTCCAGTCTATTCTACACTGCCCTACCTCAGTCTTCTCTACCCCACTCTATCCTACCCCACCCTACCCTCGGCCTTTGACCAGGGCCGAGGGTAGGCCTGTCTTAACCCACGGCACTTTTAACTACAGCTGTTGTTTGTCTCAAATTTTGGTACAATTTATTTACTAAGAATACCTTAAATCATGCTTATTTTTTATTGTTTTCTTGTTCCCAGATACTTTTCTTGTTGTTAAGATAATTTAGGTTTGTGAGAAAACATTTCTTAAAGACCCAGGACTGAGGCTGTAGACCCAGGACTGAGGCTGTAGACCCAGGACTGAGGCTGTAGACCCAGGACTGAGGCTGTAGACCCAGGACTGAGGCTGTAGACCCAGGACTGAGGCTGTAGACCCAGGACTGAGACTGTAGACCCAGGACTGAGGCTGTAGACCCAGGACTGTGGCTGTAGACCCAGGACTGAGGCTGTAGACCCAGGACTGAGGCTGTAGACCCAGGACTGAGACTGCAGACCCAGGACTGAGGCTGTAGACCCAGGACTGTGGCTGTAGACCCAGGACTGAGGCTGTAGACCCAGGACTGAGGCTGTAGACCCAGGACTGAGGCTGTAGACCCAGGACTGAGGCTGTAGACCCAGGACTGAGGCTGTAGACCCAGGACTGAGGCTGTAGACCCAGGACTGAGACTGCAGACCCAGGACTGAGGCTGTAGACCCAGGACTGTGGCTGTAGACCCAGGACTGAGGCTGTAGACCCAGGACTGAGGCTGTAGACCCAGGACTGAGACTGAAGACCCAGGACTGAGGCTGTAGACCCAGGACTGTGGCTGTAGACCCAGGACTGAGGCTGTAGACCCAGGACTGAGGCTGTAGACCCAGGACTGAGGCTGTAGACCCAGGACTGAGGCTGTAGACCCAGGACTGAGGCTGTAGACCCAGGACTGAGACTGTAGACCCAGGACTGAGACTATAGACCCAGGACTGAGACTATAGACCCAGGACTGACTACATTCAGAACTCTTCCAACATCAAACCATACTAAATCTCTCTCACTCAGTCTCTCAACATTCATCAGTCGTTCTCGTTCTAATCCTCCCAAACCATTCCCAGGTCCTGAACTTCCCTTTGTCCCCCACGTCCCGACAAAACCACCCAATCAGACGCTCTCGCTGCGGCGGAATCCTCTGCATCTCGCTCATCTCGCTCATCTCGCTGCGGCGTGTTTGCTTTGTCTGTAAAACTTCTTGATATTAATGTATGTGTATAGGCGACAGTGCGTTTAAAGGCTGGAGCTGTCAGCCTGCGCCCGGACCCACCGCTGCTATGGTCTCATTACGGGGACCCAGACAGCCAACGCACTCCCCCCTCCCTCCCCCTCTCCTCCCTCCCTCTCCTCCCTCTCCTCCCTCTCCCCCCTCCCCCTTTCTTTCTGTCATGTTGTCATCTCTCGTACTCGGCTCGCTGTTACTTCACGCGGGTGCCGTTCCCCCCTCTTTCTTTCTTCACTCTCTACATAAGACTGTGTAACGTTGATAGACAATCTCAGTTTCTCCCTCCTCCTCCTCCTCCTCCTCCTCCTCCTCCACCACCCCTTCTTCCTCCTCCTCCTCCTCCTCTTCTTCCTCCTCCTCTTCTTCCTCCTCTTCTTCCTCCTCTTCCTCCACCTCCTCTTCTCCCTCCTCCTCTCCCTCCTCCTCTCCCTCCTCCTCCTCTCCCTCCTCCTCCTCTTCCTCCACCTCCTCCTCCTCTTCCTCCACCACCTCCTCTTCTTCCTCCTCCTCTTCCTCCTCCTCCTCCTCTTCTTCTTCCTCCTCCTCTTCCTCCTCTTCCTCCATCACCTCCTCCTCCTCTTCCTCACTGACTGCTGCAACTGCCTGATATTGATATGTCATAAGCCCCGCCTCCTTGTTTGGGTTCAAGTCTGGATTCATGAGGTACTTTTCCAGATAATCAGGCCGTTTCTGTTCTTATTGGAGCTTCCTGCGGCGCTAAAGGACAGAGATAAGACCTCCATGGTCCGGGGGCGGAGGACTTTACGAAGTTGTGGATTCACCGACAACAGATCAGAAAATCAAAACAGGTAAAACTCAGATAACAAACACATCGGAGCCGGGATCATCACTGTCCTTAGACCAGACAGGTCCAAACCGAGGCCCGCGGACCGACTGGGTTCGCAAGACAGAGGGCCGCAAAGTACCACTGAGATCAAAAACCTAAATTCAAACATGTCATCCAGCAAACTTCAGCTCCACTGCTGGAAAGAACCTGGGATTAAGTCTTTACTATTTCCATATTAACATTTGGTTTTGATGGTTTTGAACATAATTCTGTTCACGGCACTAATGCAGCTGGTGAGACAGTACACATTTGTCATTCAGCCAACTTCAGCTACAATTTCAGAGCTAATTTTAAAGTTCAGAACAGCCTGACTTCAGTTTTACAATCTGTGATGTCGGTCCCTGAACTAAATAGTTTGGACACCCCTCTATAGACCCTTGTGTATCGACAAAAAAACACAGAAAAAAAGACCCAGTAGACCCAGGACTGAGGCTGTAGATCCAGGACTGAGGCTGTAGACCCAGGACCGAGGCTGTAGACCCAGGACTGAGGCTGTAGACCCAGGACTGAGACTGTAGACCCAGGACCGAGGCTGTAGACCCAGGACCGAGGCTGTAGACCCAGGACCGAGGCTGTATACCCAGGACCGAGGCTGTAGACCCAGGACCGAGGCTGTAGACCCAGGACTGAGGCTGTAGACCCAGGACCGAGGCTGTAGACCCAGGACCGAGGCTGTAGATCCAGGACCGAGGCTGTAGATCCAGGACCGAGGCTGTAGACCCAGGACTGAGGCTGTAGACCCAGGACCGAGGCTGTAGACCCAGGACTGAGGCTGTAGACCCAGGACTGAGGCTGTAGATCCAGGACTGAGGCTGTAGATCCAGGACCGAGGCTGTAGACCCAGGACTGAGGCTGTAGACCCAGGACTGAGGCTGTAGACCCAGGACTGAGGCTGTAGATCCAGGACCGAGGCTGTAGACCCAGGACTGAGGCTGTAGACCCAGGACCGAGGCTGTAGACCCAGGACCGAGGCTGTAGACCCAGGACCGAGGCTGTAGACCCAGGACTGAGGCTGTAGACCCAGGACTGAGGCTGTAGACCCAGGACTGAGGCTGTAGACCCAGGACTGAGGCTGTAGACCCAGGACTGAGGCTGTAGACCCAGGACCGAGGCTGTAGACCCAGGACCGAGGCTGTAGACCCAGGACTGAGGCTGTAGACCCAGGACCGAGGCTGTAGACCCAGGACTGAGGCTGTAGATCCAGGACTGAGGCTGTAGACCCAGGACTGAGGCTGTAGACCCAGGACTGAGGCTGTAGATCCAGGACCGAGGCTGTAGACCCAGGACTGAGGCTGTAGACCCAGGACCGAGGCTGTAGACCCAGGACTGAGGCTGTAGACCCAGGACTGAGGCTGTAGACCCAGGACTGAGGCTGTAGACCCAGGACCGAGGCTGTAGACCCAGGTCCGAGGCTGTAGACCCTTTTCAGAATTGGTTCACAGCCCCATTACAAAGACATGTTCATTTAGACTTGTTTTCTGCCGTTTCGTGGCCACCTGCTCCTCTTCTTCTGACAAACTCCTCTCACTGCAGAGTGTGCGTGCGTGCGTGCGTGCGTGCGTGCGTGCGTGCGTGCGTGCGTGCGTGTGTGCGCGTGCGTGCGTGTGTGTGTGTGTGTGTGTGTTCATCACATCGTGGGGACCTGCTATGGCTGTCTATGGAGCGGGTTTTGTTGAATTTATTGATGCCGTGACTGCGTACAGGAGCAGGAGGAAGAATTCTGAAATGCTGTGGCTAATATTACACTCAAACCACACTGCAGTAGCTCCCAAAGAGATGTTAGCTAGTGTTCTCCATGATAGCTAGTGTACTCCATGTTAGCTAGTGTACTCCATGATAGCTAGTGTACTCCATGATAGCTAGTGTACTCCATGATAGCTAGTGTACTCCATGATAGCTAGTGTACTCCATGATAGCTAGTGTACTCCATGATAGCTAGTGTACTCCATGATAGCTAGTGTACTCCATGATAGCTAGTGTACTCCATGATAGCTAGTGTACTCCATGATAGCTAGTGTACTCCATGATAGCTAGTGTACTCCATGATAGCTAGTGTACTCCATGATAGCTAGTGTACTCCATGATAGCTAGTGTACTCCATGATAGCTAGTGTACTCCATGATAGCTAGTGTACTCCATGATAGCTAGTGTACTCCATGATAGCTAGTGTACTCCATGATAGCTAGTGTACTCCATGATAGCTAGTGTACTCCATGATAGCTAGTGTACTCCATGATAGCTAGTGTACTCCATGTTAGCTAGTGTACTCCATGTTAGCTAGTGTACTCCATGTTAGCTAGTGTACTCCATGTTAGCTAGTGTACTCCATGATAGCTAGTGTACTCCATGATAGCTAGTGTACTCCATGATAGCTAGTGTACTCCATGATAGCTAGTGTACTCCATGATAGCTAGTGTACACCATGATAGCTAGTGTACTCCATGATAGCTAGTGTACTCCATGATAGCTAGTGTACTCCAAGTGAGCTAGTGTACTCCAAGTGAGCTAGTGTACTCCAAGTGAGCTAGTGTACTCCATGTGAGCTAGTGTACTCCATGATAGCTAGTGTACTCCATGATAGCTAGTGTACTCCATGATAGCTAGTGTACTCCATGTTAGCTAGTGTACTCCATGTTAGCTAGTGTACTCCATGATAGCTAGTGTACTCCATGATAGCTAGTGTACTCCAAGTGAGCTAGTGTACTCCAAGTGAGCTAGTGTACTCCAAGTGAGCTAGTGTACTCCATGATAGCTAGTGTACTCCATGATAGCTAGTGTACTCCATGATAGCTAGTGTACTCCATGATAGCTAGTGTACTCCATGATAGCTAGTGTACTCCATGATAGCTAGTGTACTCCATGATAGCTAGTGTACTCCATGATAGCTAGTGTACTCCATGATAGCTAGTGTACTCCATGATAGCTAGTGTACTCCATGATAGCTAGTGTACTCCATGATAGCTAGTGTACTCCATGATAGCTAGTGTACTCCATGATAGCTAGTGTACTCCATGATAGCTAGTGTACTCCATGATAGCTAGTGTACTCCATGATAGCTAGTGTACTCCATGATAGCTAGTGTACTCCAAGTGAGCTAGTGTACTCCAAGTGAGCTAGTGTACTCCAAGTGAGCTAGTGTACTCCATGTTAGCTAGTGTACTCCATGATAGCTAGTGTACTCCATGATAGCTAGTGTACTCCATGTTAGCTAGTGTACTCCATGTTAGCTAGTGTACTCCATGTTAGCTAGTGTACTCCATGATAGCTAGTGTACTCCATGTTAGCTAGTGTACTCCATGATAGCTAGTGTACTCCATGATAGCTAGTGTACTCCATGATAGCTAGTGTACTCCATGATAGCTAGTGTACTCCATGATAGCTAGCTAGCTAGTGTACTCCATGTTAGCTAGTGTACTGATAGCTAGTGTACTCCATGATAGCTAGTGTACTCCAAGTGAGCTAGTGTACTCCAAGTGAGCTAGTGTACTCCAAGTGAGCTAGTGTACTCCAAGTGAGCTAGTGTACTCCATGATAGCTAGTGTACTCCATGATAGCTAGTGTACTCCATGATAGCTAGTGTACTCCATGATAGCTAGTGTACTCCATGATAGCTAGTGTACTCCATGATAGCTAGTGTACTCCATGATAGCTAGTGTACTCCATGATAGCTAGTGTACTCCATGATAGCTAGTGTACTCCATGATAGCTAGTGTACTCCATGATAGCTAGTGTACTCCATGATAGCTAGTGTACTCCATGATAGCTAGTGTACTCCATGATAGCTAGTGTACTCCATGCTATAGATAGCTAGTGTACTCCATGATAGCTAGTGTACTCCATGATAGCTAGTGTACTCCATGATAGCTAGTGTACTCCATGATAGCTAGTGTACTCCATGATAGCTAGTGTACTCCATGATAGCTAGTGTACTCCATGATAGCTAGTGTACTCCATGATAGCTAGTGTACTCCATGATAGCTAGTGTACTCCATGATAGCTAGTGTACTCCATGATAGCTAGTGTACTCCATGTTAGCTAGTGTACTCCATGTTAGCTAGTGTACTCCATGTTAGCTAGTGTACTCCATGATAGCTAGTGTACTCCATGATAGCTAGTGTACTCCAAGTGAGCTAGTGTACTCCAAGTGAGCTAGTGTACTCCAAGTGAGCTAGTGTACTCCAAGTGAGCTAGTGTACTCCAAGTGAGCTAGTGTACTCCATGTGAGCTAGTGTACTCCATGATAGCTAGTGTACTCCATGATAGCTAGTGTACTCCATGATAGCTAGTGTACTCCATGATAGCTAGTGTACTCCATGATAGCTAGTGTACACCATGATAGCTAGTGTACTCCATGTTAGCTAGTGTACTCCATGATAGCTAGTGTACTCCATGATAGCTAGTGTACTCCAAGTGAGCTAGTGTACTCCAAGTGAGCTAGTGTACTCCAAGTGAGCTAGTGTACTCCAAGTGAGCTAGTGTACTCCATGATAGCTAGTGTACTCCATGATAGCTAGTGTACTCCATGATAGCTAGTGTACTCCATGATAGCTAGTGTACTCCATGATAGCTAGTGTACTCCATGATAGCTAGTGTACTCCATGATAGCTAGTGTACTCCATGATAGCTAGTGTACTCCATGATAGCTAGTGTACTCCATGATAGCTAGTGTACTCCATGATAGCTAGTGTACTCCATGATAGCTAGTGTACTCCATGATAGCTAGTGTACTCCATGATAGCTAGTGTACTCCATGTGAGCTAGTGTACTCCATGATAGCTAGTGTACTCCATGATAGCTAGTGTACTCCATGTTAGCTAGTGTACTCCATGTTAGCTAGTGTACTCCATGTTAGCTAGTGTACTCCATGATAGCTAGTGTACTCCATGATAGCTAGTGTACTCCATGTTAGCTAGTGTACTCCATGTTAGCTAGTGTACTCCATGTTAGCTAGTGTACTCCATGTTAGCTAGTGTACTCCATGATAGCTAGTGTACTCCAAGTGAGCTAGTGTACTCCAAGTGAGCTAGTGTACTCCAAGTGAGCTAGTGTACTCCATGTGAGCTAGTGTACTCCATGATAGCTAGTGTACTCCATGATAGCTAGTGTACTCCATGATAGCTAGTGTACTCCATGATAGCTAGTGTACTCCATGATAGCTAGTGTACTCCATGATAGCTAGTGTACTCCATGATAGCTAGTGTACTCCATGATAGCTAGTGTACTCCATGATAGCTAGTGTACACCATGATAGCTAGTGTCCATGGCCTCGCACCAAAGTAAACCTGTGACATGCTAATGCTACATGAACCAAGTCAAACTATGAATTTAAGGCAGTTCTTTATAATTGCTGTCAAATTTGTAAAAAAAATAAAAATAAAACTAATTCCACTTCTCCCCCTGGTGGCAGGATTGGGAGTTACAGTAGGAACGCTTCATATATATGCAGAATATTTGTTCCTTAAATCCTCTTGAGTGTAATAACTGTAGCTAGAGGTGGGTCTACAGCCTCAGTCCTGGGTCTACAGCCTCGGACCTGGGTCTACAGCCTCAGTCCTGGGTCTACAGCCTCAGTCCTGGGTCTACAGCCTCAGTCCTGGGTCTACAGCCTCAGTCCTGGGTCTACAGCCTCAGTCCTGGGTCTACAGCCTCAGTCCTGGGTCTACAGCCTCAGTCCTGGGTCTACAGCCTCAGTCCTGGGTCTACAGCCTCAGTCCTGGGTCTACAGCCTCGGACCTGGGTCTACAGCCTCAGTCCTGGGTCTACAGCCTCTAATGACAGTGATGATCCAAAATCTTCTATGTGTTTGTTATTGTAGATTAAACACAAACCCATTGAATTGTGTGACAGCCAATCAGTCAGTGCCCAGTGATCTGCTCATTCCAACGTGGGCCTACAGAGGGCGCTGTCGTTCCAGAGTCTAATGAGCAATCACACAATCACACGATCACACAAGCAGAGCCGGTCACATGACTCTCTCTGCTGCTGTATCGTCTGACAATAACAGGCTGTGGTGTAAAAGGGAAAAACACACACAGAAACACACACACACAGAGACAACCACAGACAGGCTCGCACACACACACACACTCACACAACCACAGAGAGACACACACACAACCACAGACACACACACACAACCACAGAGACACACACACACACAGAGACACACGCACACACAGACACACACGCACAGAGACACACACGCACACACACTCACACAACCACAGAGACACACGCACACACAGACACACACGCACACAGAAACACACGCACAGAGACACACACGCACACACACTCACACAACCACAGAGACACACGCACACACAGACACACACAGAAACACACGCACAGAGACACACACGCACACACACTCACACAACCACAGAGACACACGCACACACAGACACACACACACACAGACACACACACACACACACACACACAGACACACACGCACACACAGACACACACGCACACAGAAACACACGCACAGACACACACAGAAGTGAGAGAGCGTGAATGGCAGTGTTTATATTTGGGGTTTTTTCCGTTTCACATCCTTGAAAGTATCAGGTTTTATTGGACTGAGGAGTGTGAACAATTGGACCAGAGCAGGACGTTATTCACAGAGATATTTATAAAGTTATATAAAAAGTGGATTCTGGAAGATTTCATTAAAAGTCAAAGTTTGAGTTCAGGCCCCGACCTTTGACAAAGCGACCGAGAATCACAGAAGCTCATGGGTTCAAACAGAGACAAAAACATGTAGTTTTGGGTCTAAATATTTATAATTGTATATATTGATATTTACTAGACTAGACTAGACTAGAGTAGGGTAGAGTAGGGTAGGATAGGGTAGAGTAGGGTAGGGTAGAGTAGAGTAGGGTAGGGTAGAGTAGGGTAGAGTAGGGTAGAGTAGTGTAGGGGAGGGTAGGGTAGAGTAGAGTAGAGTAGAGTAGGGTAGGGTAGGGTTGAGTAAGGTAGGGTAGGGTAGAGTAGGGTAGGGTAGGGTAGAGTAGGGTAGGGTAGAGTAGAGTAGAGTAGGGTAGAGTAGGGTAGAGTAGGGTAGGGTAGAGTAGAGTAGGGTAGGGTAGAGTAGGGTAGAGTAGGGTAGAGTAGGGTAGAGTAGTGTAGGGGAGGGTAGGGTAGAGTAGAGTAGAGTAGAGTAGGGTAGGGTAGGGTTGAGTAAGGTAGGGTAGGGTAGAGTAGGGTAGGGTAGGGTAGAGTAGAGTAGAGTAGGGTAGGGAAGAGTAGGGTAGGGTAGGGTAGAGTAGAGTAGGGTAGGGAAGAGTAGGGTAGGGTAGGGTTGAGTAGGGTAGGGTAGAGTAGGGTAGGGAAGAGTAGGGTAGGGTAGGGTAGAGTAGGGTAGGGTAGGGTAGGGTTGAGTAGGGTAGGGTAGAGTAGAGTAGAGTAGGGTAGGGAAGAGTAGGGTTGAGTAGGGTAGGGTCTTTTGGTTCCATGTTCTTGGACCAGATCGGGTCAGATCCAGTCTTGGTCCAGGTCCAGGTCTCAGTGAGCAGTGAATGAAAGGCGCTAAAAACACCATCGTATAAAACACACGTGACACTTTTAGCACCTAGTTATGTGTTCAATTATACTGTTTAAGACCAGAGAGAGACCAGAGAGAGACCAGAGAGAGACCAGAGAGAGACCAGGAGAGACCAGAGGGAGACCAGAGGGAGACCAGAGAGAGACCAGAGAGAGACCAGAGAGAGACCAGGAGAGACCAGGAGAGACCAGAGAGAGACCAGGAGAGACCAGAGGGAGACCAGAGGGAGACCAGAGAGAGACCAGAGAGAGACCAGAGAGAGACCAGAGAGAGACCAGAGAGAGACCAGAGAGAGACCAGAGAGAGACCAGGAGAGACCAGAGAGAGACCAGGAGAGACCAGAGGGAGACCAGAGGGAGACCAGAGAGAGACCAGAGAGAGACCAGAGAGAGACCAGAGAGAGACCAGAGAGAGACCAGAGAGAGACCAGGAGAGACCAGGAGAGACCAGGAGAGACCAGGAGAGAGACCAGGGAGAGACCAGGGAGAGACCAGGGAGAGACCAGGGAGAGACCAGGGAGAGACCAGAGCGAGACCAGAGCGAGACCAGAGAGAGAGACCAGCGAGGGACCAGAGAGAGAGACCAGAGAGAGACCAGAGAGAGACCAGTGAGGGAACAGAGAGAGACCAGAGAGAGAGACCAGAGAGAGACCAGAGAGAGACCAGAGCGAGACCAGAGAGAGAGACCAGAGAGAGACCAGAGAGAGACCAGAGAGAGACCAGAGAGAGACCAGAGAGACACCAGAGAGAGACCAGAGCGAGACCAGAGAGAGACCAGAGAGAGACCAGAGAGAGACCAGAGAGAGACCAGAGAGAGACCAGAGAGAGAGACCAGAGAGAGACCAGAGAGAGACCAGAGAGAGACCAGAGAGAGAGACCAGAGAGAGACCAGAGGGGGAGCCTTGACAGTCGTAGGACATTCATAAAGTGTGACAGTTTTATGGAGCGAGCGTCGGACACAATAACGTCTGTGTTTAAAGTGTCTGGGGTCAGAGGTCGTGGACAGAGGAAGTGCGGACCGGCCCGGGTCTGGAACACACCGCTAATGAAACACATCCAACCAGAGGTGATTACTGGGGAGTTTAAGACAGAGGGGGGAGAGGGGTGAGGGGGGAGAGGGTTAATCACATTAGGAGGGGGGGGGGCGACAGGAGACGTTGTCGGAAATGAAATCCTGTTTGGTTCAGACACATGTGTTTAAAGGGCAAAGAAGTATTTAGTTAGTGATTAATTGGGCTTAAAAAGATGAAAGACCGGAGGGAGACGAGAGGGAGCAGAGAGAGACAAGAGAGAGAGACAAGAGAGACCAGAGAGAGACAAGAGAGAGAGACAAGAGAGAGACCAGAGAGAGACAAGAGAGAGACAAGAGAGACGAGAGGGAGCAGAGAGAGACAAGAGAGAGACCAGAGAGAGACAAGAGAGACGAGAGGGAGCAGAGAGAGACAAGAGAGAGCGACAAGAGAGAGACCAAAGAGAGATAAGAGAGAGACAAGAGAGAGAGAGACCAGAGAGAGACAAGAGAGAGACAAGAGAGAGACCAGAGAGAGACCAGAGAGAGACAAGAGAGAGACAAGAGAGAGACAAGAGAGACGAGAGGGAGCAGAGAGAGACAAGAGAGAGACCAGAAAGAGACAAGAGAGAGCGACAAGAGAGAGAGAGACCAGAGAGAGACCAGAGAGAGACCAGAGAGAGACCAGTGAGAGACCAGTGAGAGACGCACAAAGCCTTCCAGTTGTTTTGTCTCATTTTGAGTTGAATAACCTCGTTTTAAGTGCATGTGTTCATATTTATATGTTTCTATAGGATTATAAACAGTATTTACCGAGGGAGTGAGCGGCCGTGGTCTTGGAGCTGAAGAATCGGCCCAGACCCAGGTCTCCCAGTTTGACGACTCCTGTGGCTGTGATGAAGACGTTCGCTGGTTTGATGTCTGCAGAAGAAAAACAGTTTATTTAGACTTCAGTCCTTTTTGTAACGTTTTATGTCAGTGACTTTAAAGCTGGGGGACGTAACTTTCAAACCACAGATATTTAACTCTACACTAGAACAGTTTTAGCCTGGCCTTATCCCTCCGTGCCCTCAGGTCCATCATCATGTCCTGCCTGTAAAGCCTAGCGTACATCGGACTGGCAACTGATTATATCCGTCGCCTCTGAGTTGCTGCCCCGCACACATCGACAATCTGGCGAAAACGGGCAACTCTGAGTCGCAGGCCAGTCTCTTGAATAACAGCGCGTACATCGACAGCAACTGGCCTCAACCACAGTGTGTTTTCTGACATAAACTGTTGCAGGCTCGCAATACACGCAATACACACACGTTGTTGTTGCGGCGCATGGAGCGCGCACATCGGGGCAACTGAGGACAACTAGTTGCCGAAAAGTAGAACACGGGCAACTGACTGAAACTGGAGACCGACTGATCATCTCCAGTTGTAAGAGCGCGCACATCGACCGATTTCGGCGACTGATCATCTCCCACCATCTCCTCTCAGTTGCCAAAAGCCGCCTTGCAACTAGTTGTCCCCAGTTTCTCTGTCGATGTACGCTAGGCTTAACGTCTGGGTCTAGTCCCCACGTTAGCGAATACAATCAGTTGAATTTCGACCGACCAATCAGAGAGCGCGGGAGGCGGGTGTTGTAGTTAGATGTGGGTGACGTCAAGAGTTTGCATTGAACGGGCAGGTTGTAGTTTGGCGAAGAATGTGATAGTAAAGTAATCTGGTCTGATTCTATCAAGAAACTGAAGCTGGAGCAAGAGGAATGTTTAACAAATGTATGACAAACACAATATATTATTTATGGCAGAAGTCAGGTACCACAGCTTTAATGACATCACTCCCAGAGCAGTCAGTTTGACGACTCCATCAGAAAAACACTGATGAACATGAAGAAAAAACAGTTTTTGTTTTCACTTTGTAAAGATAGAAGCTGTGTATAACTGGTCAGACCAGGACCAGACCAGGACCAGACCAGGACCAGACCAGGACCAGTCCAGGACCAGACCAGGACCAGACCAGGACCAGACCAGGACCAGTCCAGGACCAGTCCAGGACCAGTCCAGGACCAGACCAGGACCAGTCCAGGACCAGACCAGGACCATACGAGGACCAGACCAGGACCAGTCCAGGACCAGTCCAGGACCAGTCCAGGACCAGTCCAGGACCAGACCATGACCATACGAGGACCAGACGAGGACCAGTCCAGGACCAGCACCTCCTCACATTTCAAAAGTAAAACATAATTCAATGAAAATTACATAAAAATAAACTTTATTTAGAAACAGAAAAAGTCACAAAGTTATGAAAAAGTACATATTGTCATTCATGTTATGTTTTACATTTACACAACTTTATGCTAAAGTTAGAGATGTTGGACTAGCTTCTTTATGATGCTAAAGTTAGAGATGTTGGACTAGCTTCTTTATGATGCTAAAGTTAGAGATGTTGGACTAGCTTCTTTATGATGCTAAAGTTAGAGATGTTGGACTAGCTTCTTTATGATGCTAAAGTTAGAGATGTTGGACTAGCTTCTTTATGATGCTAAAGTTAGAGATGTTGGACTAGCTTCTTTATGATGCTAAAGTTAGAGATGTTGGACTAGCTTCTTTATGATGCTAAAGCTAACGTTGACAGTGATTGTCTGTGGCACACGTCGTTTGGAGGTAAATCCACTTTAACGTTGGATCCTAATGTTTTCAAAGCGCGGTCAGTGATCGAGTGCTCCTTATAAATACATTAGGTTTAGGGCCGACATAAAGAGGCCCTTCGGAGCGTCCGTCTTAAGTCATTTGTGCCGCGGCCTTTGAAACACACACCTGCGCTACGAGCTAACGAGCGCGCCGGCGCTAAGTGCCTATTAATGCGAGCGCAGGGTTCGTTAGCGAGCGCGGCGGCTAATCGGAGCCAGCAGGGCGGATATGTTTCACCTGCGAGGAGGGGGGGGGGAGGAAGGGTGAGGGGGGTGAGAAGGGGTGAGGGGGGGGGGTAAGTAGTAGTAGGAAGTAATCTTTATTTATATACCGCCTTTTCACTGCAGATCTGAGTCTCAAAGCGGTTTACAATTGTTAATTTTGGGCACTTGTCTCTCACTCCACACAGAGATGGGAGCGGGGCCAGTACAGGAGGCACATGCCAGAACTATTGGACATATATTTAGTGGTAGGGGAAACCGGAGTACCCGGAGGAAACCTACGCAGACACGGGGAGAACATGCAAACTCCACTCAGAAAGGCCCTGGTCCGACCGGGATTCGAACCCAGGACCTTCTTGCTGAGAGGCAAGAGTGCTATCCACTCAGCCACCGTGCCGGGGAGGGTGAGAAGGGGTGAGGGGGGGGGGGGAGGGGGGGGGGGGGGGGGGGGGGGGAGGAGGAGGGGGGAGGGAGGGTTTGGGGAAAGTGACTGACTTTTTCTGCCATGGATTTAAGTCACCAGTGGTTTGTGTTTAGAGGAAGGACAGATTCTAGTCTAAGTTTACAGCTTTCTCTGTCATTCCTGGGACAATCCCTACTACTGTGTCAGCACAAAGCAAATCTGGTCTCTCTCTCCCTCTGGTCTCTCTCTCCCTCTGGTCTCTCTCTCCCTCTGGTCTCTCTCTCTCTCTGGTCTCTCTCTCTCTGGTCTCTCTCTCTCTGGTCTCTCTCTCTGGTCTCTCTCTCTCTGGTCTCTCTCTCTCTGGTCAGATTGTGTTTCTATTCCAGAAGAGTATTTAAATTAGAGAGATCAGAGAGAGAGACCAGAGGGAGAGACCAGAGAGAGACCACAGAGAGAGACCAGAGAGAGAGACCAGACCAATTGGATCAGAGAGAGTATAAATGTGTTATACTTTATGAGTTCTTATTAACATAAAGTTTGAGTGTTGTTGCCTTGACAACACTGGGCATTGTGGATCTGTCACACAGTAGAAGGAGAGAGCAGGAGGTGCAGGAGGAGGAGCAGGAGGATTAGAAAGAGCAGGAGCAGGAGGAGCAGGAGGAGGAGGAGGATTAGAAGGAGCAGGAGGATTAGAAAGAGCAGGAGGAGGTGTGCTTGTTCAGTTCACTGGGGGCTCTCTCCTGCAGCACGTTAACACCACACACACTGGTGTTGTTGTTTCACACCTGACTGCAGCCTTCTGCCAAGAGGCACAGCTCCTCACACACTTACAGACGTGTGTGTGTGTGTGTGTGTGTGTGTACGTGTGTGTACGTGTGTACGTGTGTGTGTATATGTGGTGTGTGCGCGGCAGGATAAAGGTACCCATGGATGTATAAGTGATTTGATTTGACTCACCAGGTCCTGGTTAACCATGGCCAGTGGAAACACCCCCAATCAGGGCTGCATAAGGTGGGGTAGGGTCTTACTTCATGACCCTCCTGACAGGGTCTTACCTCAGTGCATGACCCTCCTGACAGGGTTTTACCTCGGTGCATGACCCTCCTAACAGGGTCTTACCTCGGTGCATGACCCTCCTGACAGGGTCTTACCTCGGTGCATGACCCTCCTGACAGGGTCTTACCTCGGTGCATGACCCTCCTGACAGGGTCTTACCTCGGTGCATGTCCTGACAGGGTCTTACCTCGGTGCATGACCCTCCTGACAGGGTCTTACCTCGGTGCATGACCCTCCTAACAGGGTCTTACCTCGGTGCATGACCCTCCTGACAGGGTCTTACCTCGGTGCATGACCCTCCTGACAGGGTCTTACCTCGGTGCATGACCCTCCTGACAGGGTCTTACCTCGGTGCATGTCCTGACAGGGTCTTACCTCGGTGCATGACCCTCCTGACAGGGTTTTACCTCGGTGCATGTCCTGACAGGGTCTTACCTCGGTGCATGACCCTCCTGACAGGGTCTTACCTCGGTGCATGACCCTCCTGACAGGGTCTTACCTCAGTGCATGACCCTCCTGACAGGGTCTTACCTCGGTGCATGTCCTGACAGGGTCTTACCTCGGTGCATGACCCTCCTGACAGGGTCTTACCTCGGTGCATGACCCTCCTGACAGGGTTTTACCTCGGTGCATGACCCTCCTAACAGGGTCTTACCTCGGTGCATGACCCTCCTGACAGGGTCTTACCTCGGTGCTCTCCTGACAGGGTCTTACCTCGGTGCATGACCCTCCTAACAGGGTCTTACCTCGGTGCTCTCCTGACAGGGTCTTACCTCGGTGCATGTCCTGACAGGGTCTTACCTCGGTGCATGTCCTGACAGGGTCTTACCTCGGTGCATGTCCTGACAGGGTCTTACCTCGGTGCATGACCCTCCTAACAGGGTCTTACCTCGGTGCATGTCCTGACAGGGTCTTACCTCGGTGCATGACCCTCCTAACAGGGTCTTACCTCGGTGCATGACCCTCCTAACAGGGTCTTACCTCGGTGCATGACCCTCCTGACAGGGTCTTACCTCGGTGCATGACCCTCCTGACAGGGTCTTACCTCGGTGCATGACCCTCCTGACAGGGTCTTACCTCGGTGCATGACCCTCCTGACAGGGTCTTACCTCGGTGCATGACCCTCCTAACAGGGTCTTACCTCGGTGCATGTCCTGACAGGGTCTTACCTCGGTGCATGTCCTGACAGGGTCTTACCCTCGGTGCATGACCCGCCTAACAGGGTCTTACCTCGGTGCATGACCCTCCTGACAGGGTCTTACCTCGGTGCATCACCCTCCTAACAGGGTCTTACCTCGGTGCATGACCCTCCTGACAGGGTCTTACCTCGGTGCTCTCCTAACAGGGTCTTACCTCGGTGCATGACCCTCCTGACAGGGTCTTACCTCGGTGCATGTCCTGACAGGGTCTTAGCTCGGTGCATGACCCTCCTGACAGGGTCTTACCTCGGTGCTCTCCTGACAGGGTCTTACTTCGGTGCATGACCCTCCTGACAGGGTCTTACCTCGGTGCATGACCCTCCTGACAGGGTCTTACCTCGGGGCTCTCCTGACAGGGTCTTACCTCGGTGCATGACCCTCCTGACAGGGTCTTACCTCGGGGCTCTCCTGACAGGGTCTTACCTCGGTGCATGACCCTCCTGACAGGGTCTTATCTCGGGGCTCTCCTGACAGGGTCTTACCTCGGTGCATGACCCTCCTGGAGTGCATATGTTCCAAAGCGCTGCACAGCTGCACAAAGTACTTCCACACGGTTCTCTCTGGGATCAGCCGCCGCTGCTTCTTAAAGTGCTGCAGACACAAGAGCAGATCATCAGCACTTTAAAACTGGAGCAGTCAATGTGACTGCTTTGGTTTTATTATGTTCCCTTTGGCCTTCATAATGGGAGTTCTGTGTTAACCAGGTACAAAACTAGCAAACGTCAACATTTGTACCAACAAAGCCTAGTATTGAATCAAAAAGTGAAGTATTTTCCCAGAGACTGGTTAGCTCTGGTTCTGTGGCCTCAGACTCGCGGCCCACGGGCCGTTTGTGGTCTGCAAGGGTATGTTGTGGTCCCTCGTAAACATCAAACTTTAATGTTGTTGCGGCAAAACAGACACTAAGTACGGCACGGTGGCTGAGTGGATAGCACTCTCGTCTCTCAGCAAGAAGGTCCTGGGTTCGAATCCCGGTCGGACCAGGGCCTTTCTGAGTGGAGTTTGCATGTTCTCCCCGTGTCTGCGTAGGTTTCCTCCGGGTACTCCGGTTTCCCCTACCACTAAAAATATGTACAATAGTTCTGGCATGTGCCTCCTGTACTGGCCCCGCTCCCATCTCTGTGTGGAGTGAGAGGACAATTGCCCAAATAAAAATAACAATTGTAAACCGCTTTGAGACTCAGATCTGCAGTGAAAAGACGGTATATAAATAAAGATTACTTACTTACTACTACTAAGTTCTTAGTTTCGCTGTTTTTATTGCTGTTTCGAGCCCAAACCTTTACGTTTCTGTTAATGTTAAAGAAGGAGAAGAGAATCCCTGCATGGGTCTGTTTTCTGCACACACACAAACACGTGACCAACATAACCCTTAACAAAGAGCTGCAGACCCCTGGTCGACTTCATTAACTTTATTGTTTCCTTTGCACAACACTAACGTCGGCGTTCCCGGCCTCAGCGTTCCCGGCCTCAGCGTTCCCGGCCTCAGCGTTCCCGGCCTCAGCGTTCCCGGCCTCAGCGTTCCCGGCCTCAGCGTTCCCGGCCTCAGCGTTCCCGGCCTCAGCGTTCCCGGCCTCAGCGTTCCCGGCCTCAGCGTTCCCGGCCTCAGCGTTCCCGGCCTCAGCGTTCCCGGCCTCAGCGTTCCCGGCCTCAGCGTTCCCGGCGTCTCCGTTCCAAACCTTCCGACTCCGGTGTAATCCGGGCCAGACCGCTTCACTGTCTGTGTCCCAGAAGCTCCACTTTACTCCCAAAACTCACAATAGAAAGCACATGCACTTTGAAGAGGCAGACTCTGCGGCTCTCCCAGTGGCACGACATCCCTCTTTCTGGCTCTGTCTTTCCCTCCTGCTGCTGTCAGACTGTACGACGAACAATGACCTCACAGTCTATCCTCGCTGCCAACAAGTACAGATGTAAACAACTCTATATTACTGCTCAAGAATACACAGGATATATACTAGCTTCTTTATAATGCTAGAGCTAGAGACCAGGGAGAGACCAGAGAGAGACCAGAGAGAGACCAGGGAGAGAGACTAGAGAGAGAGACCAGAGAGAGACCAGGGAGAGAGACTAGAGAGAGAGACCAGGGAGAGACCAGAAAGAGACCAGGTAGAGAAACACCAGGTAGAGAGACCAGAGAGAGACCAGAGAGAGACCAGAGAGAGACCAGAGAGAGACCAGAGAGAGACCAGAGAGAGACCAGGGAGAGACCAGAGAGAGAGACCAGAGAGAGAGACCAGAGAGAGAGACCAGAGAGAGACCAGGGAGAGAAACACCAGGTAGAGAGACCAGGTAGAGAGACCAGAGAGAGACCAGAGAGAGACCAGGGAGAGACCAGGGAGAGACCAGAGAGAGACCAGAGAGAGACCAGGGACAGACCAGAGAGAGACCAGGGACAGACCAGAAAGAGACCAGAGACCGTTTGGTGTCTGACTTTAATGGTGTATTGATCACATGGTCCGCACAGATGAAGGACACAGCGGGAGAGACGCCTTCAAGGAATTTATGTGAGATTCGTCATTTACGAGAAGCAGGTTTAGGTTCAGCTTTATCACAAATACAGAAGAAGAGAGGACTATGAACCAACACACACAAGTAAATCAGCTCTCTCTGGTCTCTCTCTCCGGTCTCTCTCTCTCCGGTCTCTCTCTCTGGTCTCTCTCTCTCTGGTCTCTCTCTCTCTGGTCTCTCTCTCTCTGGTCTCTCTCTCTGGTCTCTCTCTCCGGTCTCTCTCTCTCTGGTCTCTCTCTCCGGTCTCTCTCTCTCTGGTCTCTCTCTCCGGTCTCTCTCTCTCTGGTCTCTCTCTCCGGTCTCTCTCTCTCTGGTCTCTCTCTCCGGTCTCTCTCTCTCTGGTCTCTCTCTCCGGTCTCTCTCTCTCCGGTCTCTCTCTCCGGTCTCTCTCTCCGGTCTCTCTCTCTGGTCTCTTTCTCTCTGGTCTCTTTCTCTCTGGTCTCTTTCTCCGGTCCCTCTCTCTGGTCCCTCTCTCCGGTCCCTCTCTCCGGTCACTCTCTCTCCGGTCCCTATGTACAGTGAAGAGAGAAACCCTGTCTAAACAGCTGGTTGGCTGACCTCTCTCAGTGTGCCCCAGGGCAGCTGTGGCTACAGTAGTTTATCACCACATGAATAATAATGTGAAGAGTCTTTAAGTGTCCAAAAAGGGCCAGATCAAAGACATACGTTATTATTATTTTAAAACAACTTCAGGTGTGTTTTAAAGCTCAGAAAAAAACTTAATCCAAATGTGGAAGTACTCACTCGTGGAAGTACTCACATGTGGAAGTACTCACATGTGGAAATACTCACTCTGTGGAAGTACTCACTCTGTGGAAGTACTCACTCTGTGGAAGTACTCACTCTGTGGAAGTACTCACTCTGTGGAAGTACTCACATGTGGAAGTACTCACATGTGGAAGTACTCAGATGTGGAAGTACTCAGAATTGGAAGTAATCACATGTGGAAGTACTCACTCGTGGAAGTACTCACTCGTGGAAGTACTCACTCTGTGGAAGTACTCACATGTGGAAGTACTCACATGTGGAAGTACTCACTCTGTGGAAGTACTCACATGTGGAAGTACTCACATGTGGAAGTACTCACTCTGTGGGAGTACTCACATGTGGAAGTACTCACTCTGTGGGAGTACTCACATGTGGAAGTACTCACTCTGTGGGAGTACTCACATGTGGAAGTACTCACTCTGTGGGAGTACTCACATGTGGAAGTACTCACATGTGGAAGTACTCACTCTGTGGAAGTACTCACATGTGGAAGTACTCACATGTGGAAGTACTCACTCTGTGGAAGTACTCACATGTGGAAGTACTCACATGTGGAAGTACTCACTCTGTGGAAGTACTCACATGTGGAAGTACTCACATGTGGAAGTACTCACTCTGTGGGAGTACTCACATGTGGAAGTACTAATGAGTAAAGTGCTGAGGTAGCGCCGCGTACCGCAGATTGAGAACCATCGAGAAGGACTCTCAGCTCTGACCAAAGCTTTCACAAATAAAGAAGGGGGGAGAGAGGAGAGAGGGGGAGAGAGAGAGGAGTGAGGGGGGAGAGAGGAGTGAGGGGGAGAGTGAGAGGAGTGAGGGGGGAGAGAGGAGTGAGGGGGAGAGAGTGGAGTGAGGGAGGAGAGAGAGGAGTGAGGGGGAGAGTGAGGGGGGAGAGAGGAGAGAGGGGAGAGAGAGAGGAGAGAGGGGGAGAGAGAGAGGAGTGAGGGGGGAGAGAGGAGTGAGGCGGAGAGTGAGAGGGGAGTGAGGGGGGAGAGAGGAGTGAGGGGGAGAGAGTGGAGTGAGGGAGGAGAGAGAGGAGTGAGGGGGAGAGAGTGGAGTGAGGGAGGAGAGAGAGGAGTGAGGGGGAGAGTGAGGGGGGAGAGAGGAGAGAGGGGAGAGTGAGGGGGGAGAAAGGAGAGAGGGGAGAGAGGAGAGAGGGGAGAGAGAGAGAGACCTTGGCCCAGATCCAAACAAACGCTGCAGTAAGAGCCATTCTCTCCGTGCCTCCCATTTCCATATCAGAGAAGTGTTTGAAGTGGATGGGAGGCACAGAGACGCCCACCAAACAAGCCCAGCACTCCTCCCCCGTCTCCCTCCCGCCTCCCTCCAACCTCCCCCCTCCCCCTGACGTCTCCTGGCCTTCTCCAGCACAACAGCGCACATGCAATATTCTGTAAGTGCATGCAAATCAGGCCGCGCTGGATTTCATTTGAATTCAGAGACAGAGTTTGAACAGAGAGAGAGACAGAGAGAGAGAGAGACCAGAGAGAGACACCAGAGAGAGAGAGAGACCAGAGAGGGAGAGAGAGACCAGAGAGAGACACCAGAGAGAGAGAGAGACCAGAGAGAGAGAGAGAGACCAGAGAGAGACACCAGAGAGAGAGAGAGACCAGAGAGGGAGAGAGAGACCAGAGAGAGACACCAGAGAGAGAGAGAGACCAGAGAGGGAGAGAGAGACCAGAGAGAGAGAGAGAGAGAGACCAGAGAGGGAGAGAGAGACCAGAGAGAGACAGACAGACAGAGAGAGACACCAGAGAGAAACCAGAGAGAGAAACCAGAGAGAGAGAGACACCAGAGAGAGAGACACCAGAGAGAAACCAGAGAGAGAGACCAGAGAGAAAGACCAGAGAGAGAGAGAAAGACCAGAAAGAGAGAGAGAGACCGGAGAGAGAGAGAGACCAGAGAGAGAGAGACCAGAGAGAGAAACCAGAGAGAGAGAGAGAGTCAGACCAGACAGAGAGAGACACCAGAGAGAAACCAGAGAGAGAAACCAGAGAGAGAGAGACACCAGAGAGAGAGACACCAGAGAGAAACCAGAGAGAGAGACCAGAGAGAAACCAGAGAGAGAGACCAGAGAGAAAGACCAGAGAGAGAGAGAAAGACCAGAAAGAGAGAGAGAGACCGGAGAGAGAGAGAGACCAGAGAGAGAGAGACCAGAGAGAGAGAGAGACACTGGAGAGAGAGCGAAGAGAAAGAGTGAGAACCAGGACTAACAATGGGTGACATTATGAACACATGCCTCCAGCCTCATTCCCTGTGACTGTAAACATGTGATGCTAACGTGTGTTAGCGACACGACAAATGTACTTATTTAGGTTAAAAAAACAAAACAATAAAAGAATCAATAATTATCTACGTCGCCCAGACCTACTCTGTAGACTTGGTCTCTCTCTCTGGTGTCTCTCTCTGGTGTCTCTCTCTCTCTGGTGTCTCTCTCTGTCTGGCCTCTCTCTCTCTCTGGCCTCTCTCTCTCTCTGGCCTCCCTCTCTCTGGTCTCTCTCTCTGGTGTCTCTCTCTCTCTGGTGTCTCTCTCTCTCTGGCCTCTCTCTCTCTCTGGCCTCTCTCTCTCTCTGGCCTCCCTCTCTCTGGTCTCTCTCTCTCTGGCCTCTCTCTCTGGCCTCTCTCTCTCTGGCCTCTCTCTCTCCGGCCTCTCTCTCCGGCCTCTCTCTCCGGTCTGTCAACTCTCTCTCCTGGATCAGTTCTGCATGACTCTCAAACCATATTTGACGACTAATTTAAGTAAAGTAAGTAATCCCAAAGAGTTCCCCTTCCTCTGTACTCTCTCGCTCTCAAAGTCATCCCGCCCTAACCCTACAGTCTTACAATGACTAATTAAAGTAGAGTAACTAATTCCTCTACTCTCTCGCTCTCTCGTGCAGTCAGAAGAGAGCGCCTCAGTGACAGTAGTATTGGTAGTAAACCTGCCGTACAGGCCTCACATCTCTCCACGTTTTGAGCATTAATCATTTCCCGACGGTGAGTTTTCCGTTTGACCGTGAACGCCGCTGCTACATCCAGATAAAAGCGCCTGGCGGGAGTTCGGATCATTCTACATTTTAGGTCTGACTTTTAAACGATGATTCAAACCGACTCCGGACCAAAGACGAGCAGATTCCGTTCAGCCACAGAAGTGAAAGTCTCATTTCACTTTTGTTTGAGAGAGATTGACTGATGTGTTGAATATTAAAGGGGAAGTGCATAAGTCCACTACTCACACATTTACACTTTGTTAAAGGGGTTTTCCCAAATCACTTCGAAACAAAAGTAGACTTCTCTGGTCTCTCTCTCTGGTCTCTCTCTCCCTGGTCCCTCTCTCTCAGGTCTCTCTCTCAGGTCTCTCTCTCTCAGGTCTCTCTCTCTCTCTCAGGTCTCTCTCTCTCTCTCTCTCAGGTCTCTCTCTCTCAGGTCTCTCTCTCTCAGGTCTCTCTCTCTCTCAGGTCTCTCCCCCTGGTCTCTTTCAGGTCTCTCTTAGGTCTCTCCCCCTGGTCTCTTTCAGGTCTCTTTCAGGTCTCTCTTTCAGGTCTCTCTTTCAGGTCTCTCCCCCTGGTCTCTCTCTCTGGTCTCTCCCCCTGGTCTCTCTCGTTCTGGTCTCTCTCGTTCTGGTCTCTCTGGTACCTTGATCATCCGTGACAAGTCTCCAGCGTCGGCTAACTCCAAAACGATGTTGAGTTCGTTGTCCTCGATGAACGAAGCGTGGTACTTGATCACGTTTGGATGGTTCAGTTGCTGCAGAAAACAGACACAAACACAATTAACCCACAAAATTATTATTCTACAAAAATAGTGAGAGAGCGAGCACTTTGAGAGAGTACACATTTAGCCCCGCAGCACCCTCGGGAAAAATCTGCAACAAAACGTGTTTACGTCCGCCCCTAGAGTGTGTGTCTGTGCCTGTGTTAATGTGTTCGCGTGTGTGTGGTTTTATGTGTCCATGCCTCCGTGTGTGTGTGTGTGTGTTTTTATCATAGACTGTATATATTAACGGACATTAACGTCATTTTGGCCACTTTTGAGCTGGGACCCGCCCACACTGGTTTTTATGTGTCCATGCCTCCATGTGTGCGTGTGTGTCTGTGCCAGACCTATTGTGCATATTTTTAGTGGTAGGGGAAACCAGAGCACCCGGAGGAAACCTACGCAGACACGGGGAGAACATGCAAACTAGGGATGTAAAAAACTATGAATTTTCATGACCGACCACCGAGCCTCATTAACCGGTTGAAACCGGTTAACCGCGTAGTTTAAAATAGTCCACGTTCTTTGAAATAACAGCCATTTCGAGCCGCGTACTTTTCATAAGAGCAGCTGAGTGTTCTACTGGATCAGAGCCGAGACAGCGGCGCCCAAACCCGCAACAGCTTCAGCACCTTTGCGCACAAAGAACTGCTTTTTTTAATCTTCCCATTCTGCTGTGCTGCGGGTTAATACCAAAACTTTCTAGCAGCAAACGACGGCTCGTCCACATGGTCAGAACAGCGAGTGACGAGCCGCGTCTCACAGGTCTTTGCTAAAGTTTAAATACAAGTGATGTTTGTGGAGCTGATCCCGAGGACCATAAACACAAACATGTTCCATGTGGTTTGACTGGAGCCGCGTATTTGTGCGAATCCTTTGGGCTCCGTGACACAGAGGAGTGCGACAGACCTGCGTGCGTGCGTGCGTGCGTGCGTGCGTGCGTGCGTGTGTGTGTAAATGTAAGCTCCAATGTAGTTCTGACCCGCGCCAGTGTGCAGCTTTGACGGTAACAGAGCGGAGAGATGATGCGTGTGGATGTTACGTATGGAGAGGGGGAAAGTGTGTGTGTATGTGCGCGTGTGCATGTGTGTGCGCGCGCACGTGCGTGTGCATATGTGGCTCGTGCGGCGTGAGAGTCGTCCCGGAGTTTATAATACATGGGCGCACACAGCTAGATACAGACCCGCTCGTCACATCGTGCAAATAGGGCTTAAAATAGCGTTATTAAGAGACCTCCCCTCTCCCCTTTTTCTCTTTTTTAACCGACAGCTTTGACCGGTTAACGCTGTGACGGTCAACCACCGGTTAAACGGTCGCCGATTTACATCCCTAATGCAAACTACACTCAGAAAGGCCCTAGTCCAACCGGGAATCGAACCCAGGACCTTCCTGCTGAGAGGCGAGAGTGCTAACCACTCAGCCACCGTGCCGTGTAAATAATTTAACTTTATTTTTTACTTTCATATTTGACTCTGTGGACCTCACAGAGAGACTAGAGGACTCTGTGGTCCTCACAGAGAGACTAGAGGACTCTATGGACCTCACAGAGAGACTAGAGGACTCTATGGACCTCACAGAGAGACTAGAGGACTCTGTGGACCTCACAGAGAGACTAGAGGACTCTGTGGACCTCACAGAGAGACTAGAGGACTCTGTGGTCCTCAGAGAGACTAGAGGACTAGGTTGGGTGTTGCTGGCCCCGCCCTAAGTGGACTTGAGCCTGATCTAGAAGACAGTACTGTTTGGATTGGACCCGTGGGGTTCCACAGGGGTCGATCCTGGGACCTCTTCTGTTCAGTCAGTTACTCTCAGTAACAGATCCACAAACATCCCAACTACACAGACTCAGATCTATGTCTCAGTGAGAAAGAGAAAGTGGACTCACGCCTTCACTGCGACAGATCCGTGACCTCAGAGCGTGATCTTTAAAGTGGAATCAGTAAAATAAAAGTAATTGTGACCGATTAATGAAATGTTTCTACCATTAGCACATCAGACTGAATCCAGTATTTAGTAAATTCACTGTTCTGTACAGAACAAGGACAAATATGACCAGTTTTATGCACGAATCCTCAGCCGTCGTCAGAAAACCTCCACAAACACGTTTGAAATGCAAAAGGATCTGGAATTTATTTAGCACTTCATATTTTCGCTCAGATGCTAATGCGGCAAACTGTGGTTAAAATGTGAACTGAATCTAGATTTGGAATCAATAAATCCCAAATCTATTTGCATCTCATCTGTCGAGTTTCTGTGAAGGCCTCAGAAGACGAAACATCAGACGACATCTCAAAGTCTCAAAGTCCAGACAATTCACTAAAAACATCAACATTAAGACTACCTTAAAGGACCAGTCTGCAGAGAAACCCTTCAGCTGGTCCTGATCCTAGTCTCTTTAGTCCCACATGGTCCTGGTTCTATCGAGGCCGAGCTGGTCTCGATAGAAGGTCGAGTGACTTATTCCTCCTCCTCCTGTCATTGTTTGCATGTTATCCTCGTTAAATAATGAAAGCATTAAACGTCTGGGTGTTTTTAGTCACAGCAGTTTGTCACCAGATCAGATTTACAGAGATGTGAGAAACTACAAATGCTTCAGATTCTTATTTCATTCAGACAAATAATTCAATCAAAGTCAGAGACGAGTCAGAATCGTCTCAAATTTGGCAAAAAGTTTCTTAATTTGAGCACATTCTGACTGATCACGAGACGAGCAAGACATGTCTCCCTTGGACTGAGAAAATACAACACTTTAGATCAGTCTAAACGGCTCCGTCCCTTTGGTCCTGATGTGCTCGGATTAAGATAAAAACACTACATTTGAGCAATTATTACCATCATCATCATTTTTTTGTTTTGCATTTTATGGCAGTGAATGTTTTAATGTATCGCCCTAAATCACAGCAGTCGACTCCAAGGACTTCACAAAGTTGTCATTTGCTCAACAACAGATACGAGAATCACAGAAGAAGCAATAAGTAGAGATAGAGAGATAGAAAGTAGAGAGAGATAGAGAGATAGAAAGTAGAGAGAGATAGAGATAGAAAGTAGAGAGAGATAGAGAGATAGAGAGATAGAGAGAGAGAGAGAGATAGAGAGAGAGAAAGTAGCGAGAGAGAGAGAGATAGAGAGATAGAAAGTAGAGAGATAGAGAGAGAGATAGAAAGTAGAGAGATAGTGAGATAGAGATAGAAAGAGATAGAGAGATAGGAAGTTGAGATAGAGATAGAGAGATAGAAAGTAGAGAGATAGAGAGAGAGATAGAAAGTAGAGAGATAGTGAGATAGAGATAGAAAGAGATAGAGAGATAGGAAGTTGAGATAGAGATAGAGAGATAGAAAGTTGAGATAGAGAGATAGAAAGTAGAGATAGAGAGATATAAAGTAGAGATAGAGAGATAGAGAAATAGAAAGTAGAGATATAAAGTAGAGATAGATAGATAGAGAGAAATAGAGAGAGATGGAGAGAGATAGAGAGATGGAGAGATAGAGAAATAGAGAGAGATGGAGAGAGATGGAGATAGAGAGGTAGATATATATAGAGATACATTGCCTTGCGAAAGTATTCGGCCCCCTTGAACCTTTCAACATTTCGCCATATTTCAGGCTTCAAACATAAAGATATAAAAATTTAATTTTTGTCAAGAATCAACAACAAGTGGGACACAATCGTGAAGTGGAACAACATTTATTGGATAATTTAAACTTTTTTAACAAATAAAAAACTGAAAAGTTGGGCGTGCAATATTATTCGGCCCCCTTGCGCTTATACTTTGTAGCGCCACCTTTTGCTGCAATAGGGCTGGAAAGCGGAAGTGCGAGATTTTGCGAGATTTCCACCCGCGGATACAAACAAACCACACGTGCCAGTTGTATGGTGCTGAGATCGCCGACTTCTTCCTCGTTAAAGGACTTTCCTGTGTTATTTTGGACACATTTCGTCTCTGGGACAGAAAAACTGAGTGAACGGTCGGAATTAGCTGTGAACTGGCCATGTGCTGACGTTTATATGACGGGGAGATGAGAAAGGCACAGGGCCGTGTTCAAACATACAGTCTATGGTTCAAACTCATTGTATTTTAATCCACTATCACGCATCAGAAAGAAAATATAGAAACACTATTCCTATGCAAATACATTGATGTCCCTTACAGCTGTCTTTGCTGCGTTGGTTATGAGCCAATGTTTATGAATGATCAGTTTTCTATCTGTACATTAGCTCCATCTCCACTTCACACTCACTGCAGCTTCACATTGGGCCTTTTTTCTTTTTGCTGTGCGGTCAAAAATAACATGATGTAGTTGGGTTACCTATTCATTTACTACTAACTAATATTATGATTGTCCGTTTTCTGTTTATATTTGAACATTTGTTAAATGTTATTTAATATGTTCCTCTATCTCTCAAATAAATAAATAAATGTATCCTGTGTGACAACAATAAAGTTAATCTTATCTTAAAATACAAGTCACAATGAAAGGCTCGGCAGCGCACTACAGGTTAGCATTAGCTACAAGTTAGCTTGAATACATATTCAAGTTAACCATCTGTAAAATCAGACAAAATGTTTTATCACAACTGCATAGCTTTTTACACAGCTTCAGTTGGTCTTTGGGAAACCTAAAAAATGAGCTTCATGTAAACTTTGATGATAACAGCCGAAAACAAAGCAGAGCATTTTGCACCATTCACTTAAACAGCCTCTTCGAACAGCTGACGGTTTGTTTGTATCTGAGCAATGAACCGGAAGTCTTTCTGGGACGAGACTTTCCAGCCCTATTACAGCTGCAAGTCGCTTGGGGTCTGTCTCTATCAGTTTTGCACATCGAGAGACTGGAATTCTTGCCCATTCTTCCTTGCAAAACAGCTGGAGCTCAGTGAGGTTGGATGGAGAGCGTTTGTGAACAGCAGTCTTCAGCTCTTTCCACAGATTCTCGATTGGATTCAGGTCTGGACTTTGACTTGGCCATTCTAACACCTGGATACGTCTATTT